TACAAGAAAAACCCACGGGATTTCTTGCATCTGTTTGTGACTACTGACGAAACATGGATCCATAACTACACTCCTGAAACAAAAGAACAGTCGAAGCAATGGAAACACCCCAGTTCGCCACCACTAAAGAAGGCAAAAACAGTTCCATCAGCAGGGAAAGTGATGGCCTCGGTTTTTTGAGGATGCTAAAGGAATCATCTTTATTGACTACCTAGAAAGAGGAAAGACCATCAATGCTGTCTATTACTGTATACTTTTGGAAAAACTGAAGAAAGAAATCGAAGAGGCCACACTTGAAGAAGAAGGTTCTGTTTCACCACGATAATGTCAGAATCACTGAACAAAAAATAAACGAACTTAGCTTCCAATTAGTTCCACATTCACCATACTCACCTGATTTGGCCCCCAGTGACTTCCACCTTTTTCCAAATTTAAAATAATTCTTGGTTGGAAAGAGATTCCACTCAAATGACAAAGTCATCTCTGAAGTAAACGAGTATTTTGCACACCTTGACAAATCGACCTATTGTAATGGCATAAAAAAGCTAGAACATCACTGGAATAAGTGCATTGCTAACAAAGGAGACTACATTGAAAAATAAAAAAGTTTTAACATTATTTTGTTTGTTGTTCTATTTGAGGCCGCGAACTTTCCGAACAGCCCTCGTATGTTTGTTATTTGTTAAACTGTCTGTTCCCTTGGTTGAATATGGATATTCGAACCACCTATGATTAGAACTTACCCTTGACTTCCCCACAAGATAATTATACACCCCTCCTTTTAAATATAGATTTTAACAACACATGTTAAAATATAGGGCACAAATTCCTATCCTAGCTGGTGTCAGGTCCATGCCAGGACTGAGATCCCACAATCTTTTTGTCTTCCTTAATTTAAATAGTAATATATCGCCATCCAGTGACAGAGTGAGTGGGTCCTAATGTCCCAATCAATAGGGAACAATAGGGTTATGAGTAGTGTTGCCACCTTTTCAAAATTGCTGACCTGGACAGGGTCAGAAATTTATAAAAATTGGCAACACTGTCTCGAACAGGTCGTAACCATTTTTGAAATTCGTTTTGTATCAGCCAATCTTTATTAAATTTACGAGTTTGTTTCCTCTTTTTTAGGGCTTTCAATTTCTTGAGTTGTCATATTAAATAATTAAAATAAAAATTATAAACTTGTAAACAGAAACTGTCACATTTGCTTTACAATAGGTTTGTTCCAACACAAGTCCCTAACTGGTTTGAATTTGAAACTGTACGAGGCATGTGCAATGTCATTTTACAGCCAAGAACTGAACAACACACATGCCAGTTTTAAACCAGTTAGGGACTTGTGTTGGAACAAACCTAATATTTGCCAGAGATATTTGCAAGTTTGAATTTTAAAAGTACATTTTCTGCCACTCAGCCTAGGATAAGATGGAGATAACTTTGGGTGGGGGTATGAAGTTAGTCTCTAACCATTCAAGTAAAATACTTTCAAATATTTTTATAAATTTAATTTGTTTTATCACAATTTCTACAAAAACTGGACAAATTAATAATTAATCCGGACCATGAATTTAAAAACCGGCCTGGTGGCAACACTAGTTACGAATAACACTCTCATACCTTGCACATATTCTCACAATAACCATCCAAAGCATATGGCTTGGAATACAAATTCTTGTGTTCCAAGCCACTTGCTTTATATCATTGTCTTGCATGAAAACGTAATCATGTATGACAGTGTTACAGGAGTGAGATAGTAGTTGAAAAGTATAAAAATAATAATGTGTAATTTAGGGCAATCCCTACAGTTGCCAGGGTTTTTCAGAAAAAAGAAAGGAAGACTTTCTATTTCAAGTCAAACATTTTATTACATTGTATAGAACATTGTTTACATTAACTTACATGCTATTTACTCCTAATATTTCACTTGTGATTAGGTGCACTTAATAAGTTTTCATTCTGTTTTGCAAATTGGTGAAATTGCTTACAGTGAAAGAGAAATTGTGTACAATCTGTAGTTCTGCTTTGATCAGCTCTAGATGGTTCCTGTTTCTATCATATGTCCATTTATTCTTCATTACTGAAAAACCCTTCCTTCAAAGGTAAATTAGTGCATGGAATACTTAGTAAAAACCTCATGACTTTATTTGTGTTTGAACACTTTCCTTAGAAACTTTAGAAAAAATACAGCCACTTATAAACATCACTACTTTGATAATTAAAATACTCTAATAAAACATCCCTACACACACAAAATTTCTTATATAGCTCATCAAGGTTAACAAATTCTTGCAATTTTAATATAATGTATATCAATAGCATTTTCAAAACTAGAATATTCTAGTTGTAATTATAATGTAATTATAATATTCTGGGAGTTTTAAAATAAAATCTTTTGATGTGTATGGATGTGAGAGGAAAAAAAGGAAGAAATTGTCTTACAGACAAAAGAAAATGTACAAAAAAAAAATATACAGCTTATAAAGCTCTGGGAAAAACCTAAGATCTGGCAACTCTAGGAATCTCAAACTACAGTTCTTCAATCTTTCAAATAAGAAAAGGAAATCTTATTTTCAACACACTTATGTTTCATTGATAGTTTTTAAAAATACTTTGTATTTCTGTATAACTCATGTTAAATGGAGAGCATAAAAAGTATTGCTAATAGCACTTCCACTTAACACTTGAGAAAGATCATACACTGATGTTGCAAGGAAATTGGCTAATTTAATTGATTAATGTACTCTTTTATGGACTTTTCTTGTACCACTTTCTCTCTCCTAAACCAAGATATGTGGTTTATGGATGAACTCTTACATATAAAACTTTGCAGTATTTATTTGTACATAACTATATTCATTTAAGTAAAAAGTAATTACATTAATTTATAAAAGGCATTACTACATCCTATGGTGTTTCCACCTAAATCAGTAATCAAGCCAAAATTTTTTGGTGAGTCAGCTTTAGCCCCCAAACTACCACATACCAGATTTCAGCTTTGAATTTGTATGTGCTGCAACATAAAAATTCAAAAACTTTCTGTAGTTTTTCAGATATCTTGGAAAAACCTTTGTTGATTTTGATCAAATGAAAACTCTGTGATGCAATACCCTTTCATGTTTGTTATCTAAACTATTAAAACAGAATAAAATTTGAAACAAATGTAAAATGTAAAGTGTGTTAGTAAAGTTAAAAATACAACTGTTCACAATTGACATTCATTCTGGCATGCCAATAACACAATGTAAAGTTCAAATAGTTATGTCTCTTGAACTTGTTTGTCAAGAAGACATCTTACGATGAATGAGCAGTTGTCTAGCAGTAACACTTTCTTTGGCTATTGTAGAACTCAGTCAGTGAGATAGTCCAAACTTGCATTTCCCGCTTTCATATTGACTTTATATAGTCGTCGATAACCAACAGCCCACCAATCAGTGGTTTTGCTTGTCTTAGCTCTATTCCAGGTCTACCTCGGTGGCGTGATCTTGCCAACTGTCTTTTATCTGAGACACATGCATTATCAGTTCAAAGTCAACCAATTCTGTTGTTCTCTTCGACAGTGTTATTTGAAAGAAATTAGATAAAATTATCAAATGAGTCTACAAATTCATTTACTTTTCTCAAATTTGGAATGGAATATGTTTATCATCATTATAATTATTATTATTATTATTATTATTAATAGAATGTAATGTTGTGGTAAATTTAAGTTTTCTGTTTAAGTCTAGAAAATGTTTGAATATTAAGGATATTAATGGAGTAAATATGTTATATGATAAATAACAAGATTTAAAAAAAGTTATATCATGTATTAATTCAAACTACTCAATATATGTAATAAATAATGATTAATGTAATTTCAATAAAATTTTTTTGATAATTAAATTTAGTTAATTCAACTATGTAACTTATTTATTTTGTAATTCATTGCAGTCATAATTTCACAATTAAATATACAGCTAAATTTAATACATTGTTATTAAATGATTATAGGCAAACCTGTATATTTGAATCATTACTTGTTTGATAACAATGTCTTCAAATTCAGTGAAACACAGCACCACAATATAAATTTGTCAAAATAATTACTACTATTTCAAGAACTGTTTGTTGTTGATTCATAAAATGTTTTTGATCTTATTTTAGTCCATCTTCAGTATCTACATCATAACAACTCATTTTATTATGAATGCAGGATAATTTAAACTATAAAAGAATTTTAAATTCTATAATATGACTATTTCCTATTATAAGTAAATTAGCTTTGATCATTGTATTACTCAATTAATTTAATAACTTTCTTCTAATGTTATCTGAAAAATCAATAATAGTCAAAGCTGGAACTTCACAATATATAAAGACACTAAACATACCTTACACAGTTTAAATTTAATTAAAATAAATGTTTTTGGCCTAATTTATAATCTTTTGTCAGGTTTTTAAATAGAGATTCTATTTTTGGAATAAAATATTCATTGACAAATTATGTTTTAAAATATTCTAGAATCTCTATTTAAAAACTTGACATAGGATTATCAGTCAGGCTGAAAATATTTGTTTTGATTAAATTTAGTTGCTGGAAAAGTGTGTAAGGTGTGTTTAATGTCTTTATATATCTGAAAATTCAATCTATTGATTAATATATTCTAAAGTTGTGCTATACTGCAGGCATCAGTTTTATTTATAACCTTTCTATGCTTACATGATTAGTAAAAATTAAAATATAAATCAACCATTCTAAAACAACCATAACAGAAACTCATTGCTTCTCTCTTTTAATAGCTTAATGTTATTCCAAATTATATTAACATTAGTTCCAATGCAATTAGTTCTAAATCTTTTTTGAATTATTTGTAATTGTGTTTTAAATTCATTATAATACATTTCCAATATAAAAAATGAGAAATATTTTTAATAGCTAAAAAAATAGAAGTAAATTAATGTAACATATTATATTAATGATATACTTTATTAATTTAATTGAACTGATTTATTTTTAGTCATCTGAAGCATTAGAATTTATGAAAAGAGATTTAACAGAACTCTCTCAAACTGTTCAACAAGATACTGCTGCTGCAGTTAATACAACTGCTGCTATTTTGAAAGACAAATTACGAGTAAGTAGAATGAATTAAATTATTTTATTGTTAAAAAATATTTGGTAATATTAAAAATAACTTACAAAGAAAAATAATTTTTTGTGGTTTTTTTTTTTTTTAAATAATAATAGTTTTGGTAATACACTAGATTCACTTTATAGTGACCTTTAGGGAATCTGTTGAAATATGGTCATTACATTAAATTTTTAAAATATTTTTCAATTTTTGCAGGAAGAGAGTAATTACATCATACAATTTGGTGACTATATAAGAAAAATATTCTGATTTTAAAATAACTACTCTTTAAACTTATCATCAGAATCTATTATTATATCTTGGAAGAAATTATAATTGTTTTTATATTTACATATTGTAATTCTATCCATTTAATTCATTAACAAAATTATATTTATGCAGTACAGTAGACTCTTGATAAGTTGAAGTGGTGGAAAACCTTTTGAGTTATTGAAATTTTGAATTACAGAGATTACCATTGTTTTGATGAGATTATACATATCATAAAATAAACAATATAGTTACACTTAAATACATTATGTATTATTATTTTTAAATATATACATGTACAAAATAACAAAACATTGACAATACTAGTGAAAAAGTTTTTTACACAAGTTTGTTGTCTACAATTCTTGCTTCTTGCATAAAGCAATGTTTTTGTGCAGCAGTCAACCACATTAAAAACACTTGTTTTAGAAATGATGTAGTTTCTAGAATGTTTCTTTAAAAGCTTCAGAGCTTTTCTGGCCTCTGTATTTGTAAGGGAAGCAGGATATTTGTCTGTGACAAGATTTGTGTCTTCTTTATCTTCATTGTCATCTACTTTGCTTGTTTCTTACACTTTACTTCAGCAATGATGCCTGTTGTTTTTAGATAAGTGTCTGCAGAAAGCTAACTTATTGTCAACATTGACAAAATCTTCAAATGACACTTTTTCATCATTCATTGTAATGAGTTTGGCCCAATCTTTGATATAGTCAACAGAATGTCAATATTCTGATGGAAATTCTGATTTATTTGAAGTATCAAATTTTTTATTGAAACCTGTTTCTATAAAACAGCTTTCAATGATGCTTTATGCAACTTAATTTCAAATTTTGCCAATTGTTGGCATTGTATCTAGCAAGTTCATTCTAAACGCATATGATCCATCTTCAATAATATTCAGCATTTTTGTACAATAAACTTTCTGTATTGTAATTTAAAAATTTCTGGATCAAAAGGGTGCAATCTAGTTGTATTTGGTGGTAAAAATGAACTGTTATTGCTTTCAGAATCATGCAATGTAATTGTTGATAAAAATAATAATTTTTTGATTTCAGTAATTGTATGGGTGACTAACTTTTTTAGTCGGTCAGAAAAAAGTGCTGATAACATCTATGCTTTCTGATTTTCTGTCTATTATATAAGTATCTTCTTGGTATTATGGAAGTATTGAGGCCTTTAAAGATTTTCTAATTAATAATTGTAGCTTTTCAATACTTATCATGTTTGCTCCTAAAAGAAGACTTATACATTCTCTACTGTTTTTGTATCTCCATGGTCTGAATCACTTTGAACACCATTGTTTTTGTCTGGCAGATATTTAAAAATAAGTATGTTTCATTTGCATCAAAAATGTCATCTGAGTTATAGTTCTGTGCAATTACCATTAAACTTTTCAACCAAATAATAAATGCACTAAATACTGAATAATATTCAAAACACTTACACAATTAAAAATTCAGCTAATGAAACACAACAATGGAGAAAAATTAACATTTTCAATTGTTTTTAGCAATCAACCTCAAGTTAAATAACCTATTTGGAAACATATATCATAATAGCTACTTGATTAGCTACTTGAATAGCAATCACAATATCATGATTGTTTTAAATACAATATGTCCCAACTGGTAAGCTTTTCTTTAAAAAGTTTTTTGTCAATAGCAATATTCTTGTCTCTACACCATACAAACCACTTCAACATACACTTTTCAGCATCTAGATGCTCATATTTTACATTTTATTATCTGTTCTGTCTGATTCTGTTATTTATTGAAGAGTTCCAAAATTTTTTTTGTTTTTCATTTTCAGATAATTAGAGAAAGTACTTAACAGAATGTTAAATTATTTCACAATTTCTGATTTTTTATTTTTGCTTTCCTCTATAGTTATTCTGCTATCCATCTTCTTTAATTTTCACTTTTTAGCTGAACTCTCTTGAGCAGTTGTCATTTGAAATTAATCTTTACTATTTTACATTGAAAGAAATTTTGTTACTCTAGATTTTTAAGGAAGTTATAATTTTTTATATTCAAATAAATTAATCTCTGAACAGTTTCATTTTCAACATATTTCAATATTACAAATAAAACATGATTTTTCATTACTAATGAAAAAATATATACAAATTATTATCATATAATTCTGTATAAAGTGCATTTGTAAAGCATAAGAAGAAAAATGAATTTCAGAAATGATATTAGCAATAAAGGTTATTTATGCAACTTTCATTTGCTTTATTTACATTTATTATTTGTATTTTTGTTTTTTATATGTATAAATAATGATAAGAAAAATAGAATAGTAAGAAATTTTGTTAAAAATTTTGTATTTAGCTTATAAAATTTATATAAAAGATAGTTTTAAATAATTATATTATTTTTATTTATTTTCATTAATTTTGATGTATATATATATTTAAGAAAATATCAAATAATATAAACTTATATGTATATTATCAACTATTAAGTTATATGTATAATTTGGAAATATACAGTAAGACCCTGCTTAATGCGGGGGATGCATTCCTAGATGACAAAATGTTAAATGAAACAGCATTAAACGAGGTCATTTTAATATAGAGTAAATAGGGAAAAGGGAACACACGACCAAAAATAAACAAATTTTACTTTAATTTTAAGTTATTTTTATATTAATTTGTATAATAATATGTTAAATAACACATAAACATATGCACACAGAAATGTATAATAATATATTAATTAGTTCATTTTTTCTATACAGTATTAATAGTTCATTTTTTGTGACAAAGGTCCTGACTTTTCTGAAATTCTTGTTTTTTGCAATAAGGTTGTGAAGTTTCATTTGTCACTTTTTTCTTTCCTTACACAAATGTCAGTAGCAGAAGATTGCATCCAAAATGCCTCGTTTTGATTTTGCACTCCTTTCAAAATCTGGATCATTCGCTACAATTTTATCAACGATTTTGGTTATCCTTATCAAACTTTACTAAGGAAATCTGTAGAGAAATTTTTTGGGTTCTTCATTTTCAGAATCACTATTTTCCATTTCTACATGGATTCTTTGTTCTGCCAGGTCATCATTGATAAGACTCTACATGTCATTGATAAGGTTCTACATGGATTCTTTGTTCTTGAAGGTCGTCATTGATAAGACTCTTATCAGAAACCTGCGGTAACTCCTCAATATCCTGTTTGCCTATATCTCCTAGTCTTTCTGTATCGATTAGGTTGAGTTTGGTAAACCTAATGATACAGTGATAGGCTCTTCTCATTGAGAATTCTTGGATATCTTCAGCCATAACTTCAAACACTTCGTTCATGCATTTATCAGTTAATTCTTGCCAAGTGAAGCCAATATTGTCTATGGCATCCATGATGTTATATTTTTTTCCAAAATTGCATCAAACAAACATAGATTTAAAGAAAGCACATATTTTTGCCACCTTTTTCTGATTGCTTCATGTTCATAAATAATCATATTATGTACGAATCAATAAAATGCTACGATAATTTAAATCAGCATAAATTTTGAGCTTTTTTTTAGGCTTTGAGCAGATGTCGTTATATTGAATCAGCGTTAAGCGAGGTCTTACTGTATTCTGTTAATTAAATGAAGTTTGAAATGTGAGAATAAAATCTGTAGTTACAACAATAATAAGAAAGTAATTTTATAATTTAAATCCTGTCTAAAGCAGTTAACTTTCAATAATTTTTCATTATTTCCTCTGAATTTTTTTAAAAGATTCATGATCCTTACTATTTGATTATTATTTGGTCTTTATTATTATTNGTTTAGGAAATTTATTAAAGGATAAATTTAACAAATACAGTATATACTTTTGTACATATTTATATGTATTCTACAGGATTTGTTAATGAATAATAAATACTGTAATGGCTTTTTCAGACATATAGAAATATGCTTGTGGATTAATAACAGGATAAATTATTTTAATTTTAATTAAAATTTTATTTTTAATTTTAATAATTCAGCAATTATAAAAAAATTTGTAACTTTTAATTAGAAAAAATAACTAATTAAAAAGTTTAAGAAACAATAGAATATGCATAGTAAGTCAAATGCTGTTTTACTTTGTCAATGTGCCATACTGTAAGAGATGTGAGGGTCAGGGAAAGTTATAGACTTTAAAACAAAAAGTTAAGTAGGAAGACTGAATATAGTTAAACATCATTAATTTAGACTACTTGGAATAAGAAATTCCTGAATTGGTGAATTAGGAACTAGAATTCTGATTTTTGTATTGTTCTGTACAAATTCTGCAGTACCAAACAGCTTTGTGCAAAATTTAATATATGTTAACATTTAAAGGATTGTAAAGTAGACATTTTATTAGAGTAGAATAAAAATAAATAAAATTAAAATGAAGTTTTAAGGCATTAAAAATATTTAAAATGAAATCAGGAATATTTCTTTATAACAATTCTTTCCTTAACTTTTGATATTTTCTCTAATCTCACATTTAAACTGTCAGTTTTCATTTTTCATAGGATTATATTAAATTTTAGCACTTCCACATTGCAGCTAAAACAGTTTCAAATAAACAAAACTATTATTGGGCTGCAATTTGAAAAAATTAAGTATAATTTACATTGTTGAAGAAAAAGTTTTAAATTTGGAAAAAGTATTATTATTAAACAAAAAGAGTACTACCTGCAATTGTAATGATGATTTTACAATACTCAGACATATAATCCAAATTTTGTACAATCCATATTGTATACATTGAATAAATAATAATTAATTATATACTAATATGTAGAGCATTGAATTATTAATAGAAAAATTTGATGGAATTATTTAGAATTCTGTTTAAATTCTTTATTTAAAGGTTCCTGCAGCAGTTTCTCATGTAGAGTTTTGGCAACGATACTATTATAGAGTACATCTTTTAAAGCAAACAGAAGCTAAAAGAGCTGAACTAATGAAAAGAGCTGAAATTGAAATTCCTAAAGAAGAAACTATTTGGGATGATGGTTTGTAGTGAAAGTTTATATAAATATGTAGTATATGTATACATTTTATTAAGTATAAAGTATTTTTCTTAAAATTTGTCACAGTTTGATTATGTAATTGATGCTGTTAATATCCATATGATTCAAAATGCATATCTTATCTTTCAGAAAGAATGATCCTATTTTTACAATTTTTATAATGCAAGTACAGTACATCATCATTTTTAATCAGATATGACTGACAAATTGCTAACTTTGTTAATGTTCCAAATAAAATAGGTTATTGTAAAAAAGTAAAAATTTAAAGCAATCAAAGAAATTAATGTATAAAGACATTGATTATTCCATTTTAGTAGTAGTAATTTCCAATATGTGTATAATAATAATAATAGTAAATGTAATTCATGACATTTGATTTACACAAGTAAAATAAACATGAATATTATATAAATTATAACCTAATTTATTAAAGATTCCAGTTAATGCTTTTTATAATTTTATTGAAAATTCAAAACTAATGTAAAATTTAAAAAATCTCAGATGCAGGAAAGTTCAAATCACATATTATTGATTTGTCACAGGACATCATAATCATTCAACTTGCAAGGTTTAAAATGTCAAAGAAGCAACTGTTGCTCCAGTGTTTGTAAAATATGAAAAATTTTATTAAACTACAAATTTTTACAAAGCAAAAATTATAATTTCAAAAACAATAATTAGTTTAAAACATAAATATTATAAATTTAAACTTCCGTATTTACAACAATACACTTGATTATTAGTACAATTTATAAAATTACAATTATTCAGAAGAAAAACTTTTAATCAGCACCAATCAATCAATGAATCATCTTACAAATCAAAATATGTATTTTGATATGTATTTCAAAACATCATTTTTTTAAAATACTGCATTTTTCAATTTTAATGTGCCATCAAATCTAGTGCATACTTGATTTTGAAGACATCAAACCTTCAAAAAGTTAGCTTGAAAATTTAGTGTTCACTGTATATCACCAGACATGCAGTCATGGGCTACTAATGTATTAAAACAGCAATTAATGCATTTTTGAAAAATATTTTATTGTCATGTGCTTCATAATGTTCACATTTCCAGATATTTATATTTTATTGTCATGTGCTTCATAATGTTCACATTTCCAGATATTTATGATCAATGATGCAATTAAATGAAGGACAAGAAAATGAGTGCTCTCCCTAAATAAAATTAAAAAAAGAAAAAGAAAAACTTGTCAAAATTTCAAAAAGAAATATTGAACTTATCAACATAATAGGCATAAATAAAAGAAAATTGTAAATAGCATTATAAAAAGTAATTGATTTTATTATGAATTTTATAATAAGAAACTGGAAAATTTTTTTGTTTCCATTTCTAGTTTCTGGTGGTTATGTCGCTGTTTATGAACCTCTGTAACAAAACGTCTGTTCATTATCAAGAACAGGTTTTGTTATTGAAAATCACAGTGAAAATTACTATACAATCTACATTTTAATGATGAGATTTTAAGTAAGTATATACAAGCATGAAATTTTCCAGATGTAGTAACACACTGAAACATCAGTGTATAAGTTATGCACAGAAGATTAAAGTTAGCTTCTTAGATCTCTGCTTAAACTTAGCTTCATAGAGTTCCATCCATTGGACATAGTTCTCTTGGCTTGCTGTAGTTCAAAGGACCTCCAAATCATTCAAAATCAAAACCAAAATTAAAACAGTAAAATGGGTGGGATGTGTACCAAGAATGTGAATTGTCAAGAGGAATGAGGAGTAAACAATGCAAATGAGGCTTTATTAAATTAACTTTATGCCCAATTCTAATGCACATTCCAGTTAGACTTTTCTGATCTCCAAAGATCAGAATAGTCTAAAAATGATGTGCATTAAGATTGAGTAAACACAGTATATGTTGAACTCATTTTTTGTTTTTTCAAATTCTTTTATAATAGCATTATTGGATATTCCTTCATTTCATTGTTTTCAGTTTCTTCTTACAACTGCTATGCTTGTTATTTTTAGACTTTTATCACTTTTACTTAAGCTTTTGATAATAAATTTCAGAACAAGATAAAAATAGTTTAAAACAGACAAAATTTAAAATATCATTTTTTGCTATTTGATATCTTATTGCTTGTATTTTATTGATTCTGTTGTTTATATCATCCTAAAGATTTGTTTTTTCATTAAACTCATAGTCTTCGATAATGATTTGGTAGGACTAAATATACAAAATAATAACAATTTAATATGGAGGATGATACTAACTGTAATTTAATCTAAATGGCTATAACATAACAAAAAAGCAATAATATATAATAATATTTTGAGTTTACTGCTATTTAAAGTATGTTACAAGCAAACATATTGATGGGACAGATAGAAATGGTAATGTGTATATTACTGTCACATTTAGCAGGATGAAATATTCCAATATGGAAATTCATACAACTCAAGCAGAATTATATCACAAGAAAACCAACCTGATGTGGAAAGTGTAATGCTAGATGTCAGTTGCAAACACATGTTCAGAAGCATGACCACATGATAAATTACACCCTGAATATGTGGCACTGAACAGAAAGAAACTACAATTTCACTACTGCTGGTGTATTCTTTATCAGAGTATGTGGGATAAAGATAAATTTATTAAACTTTGCACAAATATTAGCCAAATTTGAAAAGGACTATAAAGTTTTTATTGTTACACAAAAAAAAATTTAAATAGTAAAAATTGATTGAGATTCTGAAAATTTATGTATAAGAAACTGCAAAAACCTATCACCTACCAGAGTTTAGATATTGAGTATAATGAATAACTTTGTGATGATTTGTTGCATGAAGTATCAGAAACGAATTATTACTGTGAAGAAGACTTCAGAATAATTGTTAAAATTGTGTTATTAAGAACAATACAACTTTAATAACTGGTTTGCCAATGAAAATCAATTTCAATTAAAATCTGTAATATTTTATCTTTCAAACACATTCTCAATTTGCCCAGCTTAAAATGTTTCTTTCTATCTAATTCAGAAAGTAATAGCTCTGGAATGGCAAAACTATATGAATACAAACAACCTGCATTCTCAACATTGTGGAGAAAAACAAAACATTTTTATCTGCTTTTGCAGAATGTTTACTTGTTTGTATAACACAAACAAATACAAAATATTATTTTTTTCAGCACAAATTTTAAAAATCTAATAATTTTAATATGTTTTACCACTAGCAACAACATGTTTTGGTAGTTTGTTATATTTCTAAATTTTTATTGTCATATTAAAACAAATTAAATTTAAAATGTATAAAACACATTTGAAGTGGAGCATTAGCGAAGCTTCTTCTGAGGCTTACAGAATTTTGTTCATTCTCAAAATCTGTTTGATAGATTTTGATTAAACTTTTCCATTATCCACTAATTGTGATGTGGAATCCAAAACTGCAGTTAAAAATGGGAGTCCATGACTTTGTTTTCAAGACATAAGGTTATTTAATGAGTGTATGTAACAAAGCAATATCACACAAATCATGTGACTTTTGTCATGCAAAGTTTCACGATTGCTAGCACATCTTGTATGGGCTTATACAATCATTCTCAAAATTTAATGGATTCAGGTTGATAAAGCTTTTCCATTTTCCGTTAATTGAGACGAGGAATCCAAAAATGTAACGCGGGTCCATTTAAATGTAAAAAAACCAGCAACAAATTGCTTAACTTTTCCTGCAACATTTAAAATTCTGGTAGCACTATCTGTTATAATATTTCATTAAAAAACTGTTTACATTTTTAATTATTATAAAATGACAAAAAGCTTAATTTTGAGGGTAGGGATGGGTTTTATGAACAATTGTAAATGCTAATAATGAGTAAAATCATCATAAGTCCAACCCTACTCGAAATATGACACACAACCATCCTTTATCTCCTCACCCTGTCAAGCTTAAACCAGCAAAATTTAATAGCATGAATCTTTCCTACACAAACCTTCCAGCAAAATTTCAGAAATTTTCAAAAGCACAGGAGTTATTAACAAGGTAACAAACAAGGTAAACAAAATCATGCTACACACAGACACACATTAACATCCATATATTGAGAAAAAACATCAAATATTTTTGCATTTCTCAATGTTTCAAGGTTCCCTAAGTCCAAAAATGTGAAAATCTTGGGGGTTCATTTTTGACCAATTGTCATACTTTTCCTCTGTAATATATAATAGAGCCAGGAAAGTAAAAATAGGAGTCCATGACTTCATTTTCTATATACATAGGTATTATAGTGACAATGTCCATGCTCTCTGATGTGACGAGCACATCTAATGGAATTTAGGCCTAGGGATCAAAAATAAAAACAGTACTGTACCTAATGGAAAATAGATTCAAAAAATAAACAAAGCAATTGATGGAAATTGCTTTGTTCTTGAATCATCTTTCCATGCCTGGCCAGTGCAAGGATTGTCTCCCCCATGGCCTGCAGGTACAAGGATAGCCACTTTTGTGGCAGCAAATGCAAAGTTTACCTATCCGTGTCTATTGGGTACTGTACAAGAATCTCTTCTGTGTCTAACAGGTGCAGGGAACACTTCTTTCTTTCCAGCTCTGCTTCAATTCTATTGTGATATGACAAAGTCAAGCAATGTCCTAGTATGTTATGGATATTATATGTATTTACTGTGATACTGTTTTTTAATATTAAACTTTATACAGTATAGTTTTTTCAGAAGTTATATAATAATAATGTATGCATAATTTACATCTGTCGTCATTTGACTGTTTCATTTTTTATTTTATTTTCTTACTTTAACATATTAAAACTTAGAATAGATGAAATTGTAAACAATTTTTTAAACATTTTTATCAGTATTAAATAAATATGAAATTTAATTGAAAGCCACTTTATCAATATTAACATCTCTTTTGTTTTTTAGATGATGAATTTTCAGAAATTGCTACAAATTCTTCCAGTATGATTCATGTAAACAGTGAAAAGTTCAAACATCCAAATAAAGGTGAAAGTTCCAAACTACTTGATAATTCATCATTTATTATTGACAGTGAAACAGCAATTAAAAAATCAAATAATTCACCAAGTGAACTATATAATGAAACTTCTTCTGTTCAGGATAGAGAGTCTTTAAAAATTGAAACGGAACATGATTTGAAAATTAGTGAAAAATCTGCTTTATCAAAGGAATTGTTTCAATCTCAGGGAGAAGATAATTCACAAAAAATATTATCAGACAGTATTTGTTTGGTACAGTCTTTGGGTGAATTACAAAATGTTTCTACTTCATCAACAGTAGCTACTGAATCAGATAAAACAGAATTGTCTTTAAGAGAGATAATAAGTAGAGAAAAAGGAGATATGGTAGTAATTGGAGACAAGAATACTATCTCTCCAGCTTCCAGTGATACTGCTTTAAAGGGTAAAATTATAAATATTAATTCTTTATACAAGAAAAAAATCTAATTAAAATATCTTTAAACAAATATGCTTCAGTTTTTTAATCAAAAATGTGCACATAAAAATTGTTCTTCTGTATTATTTTTTCCAAGAATATAGTTAAACTGATATTTTATTGAATCTGTTTTCATGAAATACCATTATACTAAGTATAGGCAATACAATCAAGTCTAAATCAAGTTTTAATAATAGCATCAACAATAATTTATATCATACAAATTTACTATATTATAATTTCAATATTCTGTAAAATAAAATAATTTTAAATTACCCATCAAATAATAGTTATATGCTTACAAATCTTGCATTTAATGTTAAAATATTTTTTATTCAGTTAAGACTAAACAAAAACTGGATAATTATAAATGATAAATTCCTAGAATACTCTCAGACCAAATGCCCAAATTGCAGTAACACATTATCAAAATTTCATATTCTTTGTGAAAATTGCAACGAAAATGAGAACATGCAAAATGCTGATATTGGTTGATTAGTGAACTGCTCTAATGAAACGGATATGTACAAGTTCATTGACAAAGCAAACATCAATACTATCTTTAAGTTATACAACTGGTCTAAGCAACTTGTGATTAAAAACGTAAATTAGCAAATGTATGTACTATATATTAGATAAACAATGTTAATTATCTGTATGATTAATTAAAGTTCTAAGGCCGGCGGATGAATATGATGTATATAGAAATCACGCTCTTGTAACAGGCGAAAGCCTTATACGCTAAATAAACTTTGATTTGAAAAAAAAAAATATTCTGTAAAATAACATAAGACTCACATCAATCATTAACCAGTGTGAATTATGTTGATGTGAGTCTTATTTTATATTCATCCTGGTGTGCTGTACAGTTATGTATTCTTTAAAATTTCTTTAATCAGTTCTCATGTAGAATATTCTTTATTTTTTAAATAGAAATTGCCATTATTATTATTTATGATCAAAATGATAATTTCAATTAATTATCTAAGACTAATGTTAAAAACATTTGTTTGAAAATCTGATCTTCATAATAGGTCGGCCATCACAAATTTATTGAATGACAAAGAATAAATTTTAAAATATATGATTTAGACTTAATTGTATTTTTTGTATTTAGTAAAAGTGATCTTCAATTCAAATTATCATGAAAAATCTTAGTTTTGGCCAGATTTGAACTCTCCTAGCAATATGAGAACTTGTAGCTATATCGTTTATCAGGAATGTGTGATTTTTTTAGTAATTAAACTATTAAAAGGAAGTAAAAGCACACTGAGTGCAGCATTAACAGTTTTTTTATTTTAATCATAACCCTACCAGGTGTGATATTGGTCATAACTGGGTGTCTTGATTTCCCTTCCAGTGTTGCATGCCCCAGGTTGTTCTTTGAGCCAAAAACACATAAGGCAGGTTGGCCGTAATGCAACTGCTTGTAAACAAGAAGTTCTATCCTACCTATTTTTTAGAAAAGGCACTAGCTAAATTTCTCCATACACTCATCCCAGGCTCACCCTATGTTATTCCCTTGTTCTTGGTTTTGGTTGCTAAATCTACCATCACTTCAGGCAGTGGCATGGTACAAACCAGTGCATACAGTTCTACAAACTGGACATAGTATCCTTGTACCCTTTGGTGTCTACTTTGAAGATGTAGGCACCGAATGCTTGTCAATTCTCTACTCCTTAAGAAGGACTTTAGTGCTCAACAGATACTGGATATACATGATGCACTGATCTTTATCACAGAGCACAACTACTTTTGTTTCAACAGGAAAATTTATTTACAGAAACAGGGAGTCCCCGTGGGTTCCCCTTTATCTGCTGTTTAGTGGAACTGATCGTGAGAGAAATTGAACACAGAATATTCAATTCACTACTTGCTGTCTACTACCCACCGTTGTACTTGCATTATGTTGATGATATTCTCATAGTGTGGAAGGATACAGACGAGACATTTCTTACGTTAAAACGAGATGTCCAGTGTATACCCCTCTATTAACTTTACTCAGGAGAAAGAAGTTGAAGCGGCAATAACATTCTTAGATTTGTGCATATATAGATCTCCTGGAGGGCTAATATTTTTGGTTTTCCATAAATTTAACAAGGTGCCACGTATCATCCAGGCAGATGCTTTCCAACCTTTGCAATATGTTGATGCTGCTATTGCAGCTGTCACTAGAAGAACATCCTTATTACCATCAATGCAAGCACTTAAACATTGAGTTAAACACCATCAATTTGGCAGTATGCAGAGCTGGTTTTTCACATGCTAAGTTCACACATGTGAGTAATATGGTCAGGGATCTCTGTTTCTAAGCACAATGCTGCATAGCAAAAGGGAAGTGATGGTAGTGGAACCGCCATTACCATACCTTGGACCCCTTTCCATACACATTTGCCATATATTCAAGCAACATAACTTTCTCTGCTACTGAATTTGCACACTCATCTGCAACAATGGGAATAAATTTTTCATCTTTGAAAAGTCAGAAATCTATGCTGTATTGTTGGAGAATCCTGTAATGGGAATGAACACAAGGTACAAATGCTTGCTAGTTGCATAGCTGAACACCAGGATGACATGGTGAAAGGAAAGCAGACCACAGCTTGCAAGAAAGGTACTCTAACAGAACTACAACCTGTTATGGCTCAAACACCACTGCTCAGATGCTGCAGCAACTGGAAACTCGTGTTTATATGAGAATCTCTCCTTACAACAATCTTGGAGCCATGCAACACTCCCATGCTTGATGTGCCCAGTGTGTGGGTTGTCCTATATAAATTGTTAAATAGTGATATATGTCTGCTATCACATCTTTAATGTGGGTCTATATCCACACATGTGTTGCATGATGTTACAACATCTAGCATAATTGAATTTTGTAGCACACTCATAATGGTTTTTGTTTGTTTGTTTATTATGTTATGGCAACACAACACTTGGGCAATCTGCTGTGGGGATGCCTTCCAGATCTTTTTAAGGGTAACTAGCCCCTATTCAGGTATTACAGATGTGGAAAAAACTCTGAAAACTCCATGTGGCCAACCTGTCCTGGCAAGGCATGAATCCACGACTGAACTCCCAGTTTTCAGGGAACGGAACTGCTTGACCACTTGTGGGTCCATGATAGATTTTAATTTTAACTTAACTAATATGTGTTCCATTTACATTAGAACATTGTATTCTATTTTTAAATTTTCATTTGCCAGATGATGATGATCATCAGTTTGTTGAAAGTGCTAGCAAAAAAAAACTGTTAACACTACACTCAGTGTGTTTTTACTATCTTTTACATGTTATTTGGCATGAAGTTCAAGCTGTTTTGAATTAAATTATTAATAGGAAATATTTGTAAAGTTAGATTATTATAATTTTATTTTTTCTTTTACCATGAAAGGAAGTGCTGAAGATTCAGATTTGGATAAGGATTGTGATTGGGAGAAAGATTTTGATTTAGATATAACAGATGAAGATTTAAAAAAATTGGAAAATAACAATAAAAATACAAGGCCAAAAGAGGTGAAAGATTTATTTAGGACTAAATTAATCAATAAGAGTATTAATAACATTCATTTTAGTTAAAGTTAAAAATATATTCAGAAAAATCAAAATTAATTAGTATTAAGATATTTCATCCTTGTTACTTGTTTGGCGTGATGGGATAGAATAATGTAATATAAGAGCAATTTTCTAAAAAGTAGTGTCTCCCAGAAGGACTTTCTGTGGAAAACTAACCATTTTTAGGTGTTAAACAGATGAAGAAAATGTCACATGACCAGTCTATTGATCAATTGTAAATCCAGGACTAACTCCCAGTGTTCAGTGGTTTTTCCACTTGGCTGCAAGTGGGCAAGTTTTAGAAAAAAAGGAAAAAATTGTTACATATACAAGTAACAATTTTTCCTTTTTTTTTCTAAAATAACTTTTTTATTTTCAAATTTATTTATTTAAAATTATTTTTATTATTTTATTTTATTTTATTTATTTTTAAATTTATTTATTCAATTGTCTGTTATAAATCAATTAATTATGTATTTGTTATATTAAAAAAATACCATGCTTCCTCAATTGAACCCTGGGATTCAGTAATAGTCCCTGCAAAATAAAGGAGTTATTAAATACAAACCCCAGGTTGAAAAGTATGAGAAACAAGCTGAAGTATTGCACTATGTAGAATATGTAGTTTGGAGATGGGTAAGAAATTTAACTAAAATAACCTCTTTAAATTGTCTAGAGTCAATTATCACTTTCTATTCCAAGGTTCATTGGAACCTTTTTGAAAATAAAATTATACATATTTATGAATATTGAGTGTGGGAAAGTTGTGATTGAGTTCATAAGTTGAGAGCTTATCAGCCAAAAGATAATTGGAGAAGTTAAGACATTCATTCTTTTAGAATGTAATTTCCTAAAGAAGGTTGATAAAGACAACTGAAAACATTAGAGGATAGAGAAATTTTATTGCATTTTGATGGTTTTAGTGTTAGTGGTATTACAAGTGCAATTCCTACAGAAATAAAGAGATGGTAAGTTCAAACCAGAAGATGCTAAATATGGTATGCAAGATTCAGCAGAATTGGCAATGACATCAAAACAGACACAAAAGACAATGTAACAACTGAATCAGAAGATGCTGAATCAAATTAGCTATAAAAACTAATTATTTCAAATTTTGTAGATATAACTCATAAATACAGTCAATAAACTGTTCTATAGTTCTGAAAATGTATAAGTAATTAAAGTATTTCTCTTGATTTTCACCCATTCATTTCTTGTAGCAAGGTAATAAATCCTAGCCTTGGAAAATCTTAGGACTTTGAATAAACCCTAGATGATACATGCATTTTAAACATAAATCCCCCAGTTTAATCAAGGAAATATGGTATAAGTAATTAAATAGGTTAAAATATGCAATATTTGAAGATATGTTTTATCACTTTTGAAGAGCCCAGATGTTATAATTTCTTCTCTAATTACTGTCATAAATATTTTATAAGAAAAATGTGGAACTATAATAAGACAAGCAAGGCTCAGCATAATTGCTTTGTATTTAGAGAGTAATAACTATAATTTTTCATAATAATTATTGATTGAAATAAAATTTAAATTAAATAAATATATAATAAATATATATATTTTTTATGGGACTTGTAACTTTAGAGCCACAAAATTGAAGTTATATCTCTGATGATTAATTTTCAGTTTAAATATATAAGAACTGAGAAAATTGTTATGCATTGATTATATACTTACATTTATTATATTTAGATTGAAGAAGACTGGGAAAATTGGGAATAATGTGCATATACCAAAGATTTTACAATTTGCTTTAACAGAAAATATTATTTCTTGCCTCATCTGGTGAAAACTTTATCTCGGATCTGTCGGTCTCTTGGTATCAAGATTTGTGAATAAGACAAGATATTGTACATAAAAATTTCCATAATTATTTGAATTTTGGATTGATTTCATTGATGATAAAAAGAAAACATTCATATAATAAATGATATATTTATTTGCTAATAAATTAAAAAAAAATATTTTCTAAGAAATAATTTATGAAATTTATATTTATGTGCATGGCAATTATATATGCAGTATATGGTAAATACTTCTTTATCTGTAAAAATATAGCAGTGTTATTGTAGAAATATTACTTATATATATATTTTTTTTTCTTTCCATATTAATCATAAATAACAACTTATTTATAAATAAACAGAAAAGTATATAATACATAAACAGTACTAGTTATATTTCATGTTTATAATGTGATAAATAAAAATATATAGTACATATATATATATATATATTTTTATTCATATTTATGTATTTAAGATTTATCAAGATAAAATATTCTATTGAAGATAAATCTATTGGAATAAATTTAATTCTTTATAAAAATTTTCTTCACTTTGATTTAATAACTTGTAATTTCAAGGAATGTTTCCAAATTCTATTAACTGTTGTTATAAGAAAATATTTAATTCATTTAGATAATTTAAATCAAAATGATGTTTTAAAAAAATTTAAGATAAAATTTTTTTGGATAAAATGTAAATAAAAAAAAAAGTTTTTTATACCATATTTTGTGTGTGAATTTATTTTTGGTTATTATGTGCAAATCAGTGGAATTTTTAAGTCACTTTTTTTAATATTTTCTCACTAACAAAATTATTTTTATTTTTGTACAGCAAAACACCCTGACGTTTTTATGAGTAAATATTCATATCGTTTGTATTATTTGTATGAATTGTTAAAAAAATATTTTATTTACTCATTGAAAAATTCAGAATATTTTTTATACAAGTAAAAAACCAGTACGAAGGAAACTGTCACGAAACTTCATCCTGCTAAAGAGCAGACTATCACCCTCCAGGCGAATACGATCAATCTTTACGGTTGCTCTAATTTCGGTTACACACTCCTGGACGTCAAACTTCCCTACCTGTGGTATTGTCCCGCGTGCCATCCAATGGAACGGTAAAGAACGGTTCTGTTCGCAGTCAAAACTTTCGACAGTTAGATTGATAAATTCAAAAGAAAAAAAAAAGGAATATGGAGATTAAGTCCTGGAATTTTGTAATTTAATTGGTTCTAAAACTTGTCAATTATTTAGCGAAATTAAGAAAAGATGAAAGGATGCGCTCGACACAGTGTATGCTTCTTGTCATTTGTCACATGGGTGAGTACGATTTACTGTAAACTATAACTAACGCTACTTGGCAGTTTTTAGGTAGTGTAAATAAATATAAGTATTTTTGAGACAAGCGCTTACCTTGAACTTCGTTATATATTTTAATTTTTTTTTAAGTATCTCCCACATTCACTTGCCACACCTGCTGATCCTTAACCTCTGTATTAACAATTTCCGTAGTAGTTCCCTCTTACCGAGAACCGGTCTTTGCCTGTGATGGACACAAAAAGACTCGTGTTGGGAGACTCTTATCAGATTCCTTTTAGCTGCTTAAGAACACCTCTAAAAAGATCTCCTCCTGTTGATGCTCTTTTGTCATTTCAACCACATTCCTTTTTTTAGTCCGGTTCTAGCATCTATAAAAAATGTGAAACTTCAATTTTTGATTAGAATAGTTTATATAAAAAATAAACGTATTTTTTTGTGATATAAACAATTAGTTTCGCATTAAAAAAAATATTATTTACGCTTATTCGAGTTCAGCATAAGTAAATAAATGAAATTACGAGAATAAATTAGTGTGAAGCTTTAATAAGTTTATCTATTTTGTAGTCTTTTAAAAATTTTCCTCAAAAATAAAATTTTAATCAACTTTACTACAGGCAAGAATGCTTTATATTATATATAAAGCATTCTTGAAAATTTTTATATGAGCCTCTCATTATAGAAAGTAATGCTAATAGTGCTTATCGAACTGATTATCATCAAGGCATAGATAGATGATGCTTTGATAAAATCAAAGTGTTGATGGTAAGAATAGCTGAGTTGAAAACTAAGAATAACACGATGTTAACAAGATTTTTTTCATGCCAGTCATTCAGTTTTTATGAACAATAACTCAAGCTACTGAAACTTCGAGATACTAAAATAACTTTTTACAGCTAAAAATAACACTATTAAGTTAAAATAATCGCAATATAAATTATAATCATATTCATTTATGCTATATTTTAATAAAAGTAAGTAATAATCACCCAAAATTATGATTTCATTAATATTTTAATAACTTCAAAATTTTTCATTATTTTCCTTGGGGACTCATAGTTTAACAAATCTCAAAATAGGTTAAAAAAGTTTAATTACCCCAACGTAACGGCAGTCCTAGATTAGTAATATTGATAAACAAGAAATTACTAATAAAAATATCCCTGAAAATGTGTTGTATTAATTTTTACTTCATCATCTTATCTTTAAAATCTATATATGATTCAAAGTGGGGATGAATTAAACTATAAATAAATTATTTAAATGGTTAAGAAATTAAGGGAGAAACGAAAAATATTGATTTACTTTCCTTAAAAATTGAAATTAGCAAAGATTATTGTAACAATTACAATGCGAAACGTTGTATAAATCATCGTTATATAACATCCTAATTTTAGACGCAAAGTTGAAGAATGGGTAATTAGACCTATAGAATTATCATCCATGACTATTAAAGATTATATCGAACTATCCAAAGAATGCTAGCCGGAAACAGGAAGAGAAACAGTCATTTTAGCAATCAAACCTTGACATAATGGGAATTAACTTTTGATGTTGATGCTCATCCGTTTTGCATTCCAAACATGACCCGATATGCATAAACATATTCTCACGTTCTGCTTGATACTTTTTTAGATGTAAGTTTATAGCAAGAAATACAAAATGATAACTGATACAAATTAATTATTCTAGAGCTTTCATTATTTTTCACGAGAAACGTAAAGTTTGCAAATGTTCTTATGAAATAATTGGCGCCGATAGTCTACACACATTCGCCTACACGACGCCAATATTACGATTTATTATTGTATTTTGAACATTATAAAAACTATAAACAATACGAACGACGTCTGACATTTCTTTATAGTAAAATATCACGCAAATTTTTCTTTGTGCATTATTGGAAAATTATTCAATCATTAATGAACTTTTCATGTTGAAAGTAGAAACTTGGATTATACAAATCAATTTTTTTAATATTTTAGTTCTCCAATATTATAGAATAAGCTATTATTCATAATACGGAGAAAACTAAAATGCTATTCAATTTCATAAAAATAAAGAAAATAATTGGAAAATAAAGTTGAGGTAATTAGAATGAAACCATGCGAAACGCTCTTTGTTAGTTTATATTAAACGAAACAATCGATTGGACATTCGGTCGATGACTTGTACAATACTTGACCAATAATTATTGTCGTTTCATCTTAAACTCTTTATCAAAGAGAAAGGAGATGGGCCTCTGTTTCTATTTTTGTAAATTGCAGACTATACATGAGTCACTTTTCCTAATCTGTTCTCAAGTAAATTGTTTATTCTAACATTTATTATCCATTTAAACATATTAAAATGTACATTATTTATAATAAATAAATAAATTATAATATAAATTATAAAAAGCAATAATAACTTCTTACATTGCTGTTTTCTATCACATTTACAAATACAGTACATTTAACAATACGAAGCCTATTTATATTTAATAATAAAAAATATATAATTAAATAATTGAGTTCAGTGTATTAATATATATAATAATACAGTTTATTCTTATAATTAAATGCTAAAATTTAAAAATAATACTTTTATCTTGATATGTTAAGCTATAGATATGGGATATAGCAAGATAGTAGCTATAAAATATTATAATTAAGTCATTATAAAATTATATAAATTTATTTGTATACTGTATATGGAATTTTTAAATTAACAAGTCAAAGTTTAATATGTAAAGTTTATAACTTTTACAAAAAATAAGAAGATAAGAAAATAATTTTATCCAAATATCTTATTCTTTAATACATTAAAGAATAAGATATTTGGCACGTCATGAACTATCCAAACTTTGATGTGAAAATCTATATTTTTAAATGATTAAAACTTACGTAAGAATTATTATATTGTATTTTTAGTAAATTATAATAAATAATGTTATTACTGTTTAAAGATTACAAATTATTCATGCGTTAGATTTAATAACAGGCCATCATTTTTCAAGTCTCTCTCTTGATAAATGATAAACTATGCTGAACTCAAGGGCTAGATGTTATCTTGATAACGATAAACCAAGTTGACATCCCTTCTATCCGAAAGAGGAAGAGAGAGTTTATTGAGATGTTCCTCCTCCTATTTTTATATCACAATATTTTTAAAAAAACTAATTAATGTGATAAATGGTAGAAGAATCCTAGGAAAATGTTCAAAAATTAAAATTAGATGACGAAAGAATTTAAACTTAAAGTATTTTTGTCTCTAAAAAAAAAAAACAGTAGTTTTCAAGACAAAAACAATGTTTTGTAGGCTAACTGATTTCGATTTTCTAAAAAAAATCTAGACATTTTCGGTTTCTGTCGGTTCAATGTAACTGTGAAGCTTTTAGTTCTAAGGGATACAAATTATTAAGACGTGTTTCCTCGATACGCATCTTACTATTAAGGTTAAATATATATAATACTACTTTAGGAATACAACTGTGATACAAATTATATAGAAATCTACTCGATAAAATTATAGATACGATTGTCCAAATTTCTATAAAATATAGGTTAATCACAATAGTTGTGATAGACCTACTTAAAAAATTTTATCTGTATTCCAACAACATGATTTCGGATTCTCCAGTTATTGTTTTTAATTTCAAAAAAGTTTGTTGTCTATTTTTGAAGATTTAAATAGAAAAATAGGATTTGTTATCTTAAAATATCTGCATGTTCAAATGATATATGAACCCATTAAGCTTTGTAAAGAAACGTTTTACATGTTAAACAGTAGAAGAAGTTCGTTTCTATAGTATAATTGATGAATTATACGTGACTTTATAGACTATACAATGGATTAGTTTTAATAAACTATAGCGAGAATGTGCTTTGAAGCCAAGAGGACAATGATATGACCTCCTTACACAGTTTCTTTAATCTATGTGTCGTATTTTTCTCAAAGAAGTTCTGGTTCAATGAAATTGAACTTAAACTCGACAAACGAATAAAATCTTTAATGATTTATTACAAAATCCTGCTTAATATAATAAAAAAAAATTGTTTTTATAGCTGTAATTTTTTATTATTATAGATCTTTTGTCAGGTTTTATAAAATTTGAATGATTAAATTTAGAATTACAGCGAACTTACCATTCAATATACTGTATTAGTGAAAGACATTTTCACAGTGTAGCCTATATTAATTATTGTTAATATGGCTATACCTTATTTATTGTTTTTTAATATATTGTTTCTTTATATTACTTTGGTTTTATAATGGCGGTCGCATTTCAATATTTACATTAATCAAAATTTTCGATTTTTAATAATTTGAATATAATTTTAATTTTATATGCATTCTAGAAAGTTGAGTATTTATTGAGTAAATTGCAAATAGTTTTACTTTTTGACAATTTGACTGCCGGATGGCCAAGACGTTAAGGCATAGCCTACCACTTTCGAGACCCGAAATCGAATTCGGACGGTCCATCCTAATAATTTTTGATAATCAGTAAGTTTTGGGTATGTTGGGCTCCGTCACTCTCATTGTGAGTCTTGCCTAACCCATGAAGGGTATGAAAAAAAGCCCTCGTATTGCCCAGAAAATAGAAAGCCAAAAATGAAAAAAAAACTAAAAAACATACTTTGCAGATCAGCTTTGATGATCTAGAAATGAATTTGGCGATAGGAAAACCCCAGGAATTTTTCAGGGTGGTCTATCTCAGGCTGTATCTCACCATCTGGCCGCCCCATTGTGGGCCTGACAAATTCACTATGGGCTTGATAAAAAAAAAAAAAAACCTCTTTAGTGCTCACGAAGCGGAAAGAGTAACAAATAAAAAAATAATAGAATAATAAAATAAAATAGAAGAAATTAATTTTTTAATGTCTATTGAATTAGTAGCTTTGCATAGAAAACATTCTTGAAACGCATAGTAAGTTTTTTCGTGCCTTTTTAAAGTAAAACTGTCATCGGAATTCACGCTTTGTACAGAAGATGCATGCAATTTAAAGTTTTAAATTCCACCCAGTATTTAGTATTAGAATCCACGTTTCCGTGTAAGCACAAAAATTATCTGACTATTCTTTACATTCGCCTGGAAAATATTTTTTTAGAGCCAAGACTGGCGATTTGAAACGGCCTTATGTAATCTAATCTCTAATCTCATTATTTGCTTTATAAAGATGAAGCGATTTCCCAGAATTTCGTAGCGTTCTTTTCAAAATGTATTCTTATAAGGATCTAAGATAAAGTTATCTTTAATCAAAGATTGTTAGAATGTCAACACATTTATAAAACAGATTTGGCTCGAAATCTTTCCAGATATAAACTCAGACAAATGAAAAACTATGAAATAAGATAAACATTTCATCCACCCAAATTTTCTCCTTGAAATCGCTTCAGCATAAATTTATTTTCTAACTACTATTATTGGAAGTCGGCCGGATGGCCAAGCGGTTAATATGACAGCATACCACTCTGGGGATCCGAATCGAATTCGGGCGAACAAGTTTCCGGGAGTTTTGAATGGGCGTGTGTTCCTGATATGTCCGTTCCCTCCCTCACCACCCGGCTGTACCGACAGTGAAGACTTGGCCGAATCTACGATGGACAAGGAAAAAAACCCTATTAATGCCCGAGAGAAAAAAAAGAAGAAAAAATTAAAGCCTTTACGTTAAAAACAAGAGACTTTTTAAATCTAAAATCTTAAATGCAGCGTTTAATTAAATATGTATTATACACGGTCTAAAGGGTTTTAAATTACTAACATATTTCTAAACTTTATAAATGTAATCTTTTATCGTTAAATTAGTTGAAATATCGGCTAGATGACATGCAATAAGATTTTATTTTACTACCGTATGGAATCCGGTATTAAACGATGTCAGAACCCCATAATTCGTGAGTAGTACTGATCGGAGAGTTATACCTATTCAGGTCAGGTTCGCAATGGGACGTAATGGGCTCAATTGTGGCGGGTCATATAGCTTACAATGTACCTCGTGTTAATTAATCAATTGATCAATTAAAAATAGATAATTTAAAAGTAATAGCTTATTAAACTTATTCATCTTTGATTAAGTTTAGTAATTTATTCATCAGTAAATAGAAAAAAGTATATCCTATGACAATGAATTAAATAAATATTTAAAAAATAAATTTGAATTAGTTGCAAAATATCTATGAATATATTATTTATCTAAACGCACCGCGCTATGTGAAATATAGGAGTAATGAACACTAAACAGCATGTTCATTATTGTTAATTTTAAAGAAAATATATTTTATATTTATAACAAATTATATTAGAAGCCACGGATGTCGCAGAAATTTTTGCAGGGGAAGCAGAGCTCGGAGACAAATGATTACATCAATACATTTTTATGTAATTACTTGAATTTTTAGAGTTTTTTTACAAGTAGATTATAGAATACAATATTGCTTCAATACAAAAAGACAGAAAAAGCGTTCTGTGGTTGAGAGTGTAAGATTACATATCTCAATCACTTTTACGATTATAATTTGTGGACGTTTTTACTTGATCCCAGGGAGGGAAAAGTGCCGCGCTTTCATCTTTCTGTGGACGTCATGTTAGAAGCTCATATTAGTAATGGCAAATCTGTAAATTTTATAATTATGATTTATTATTTAAACACTATAATTGTATACAGTTAAGCCTGCAATAGTAAAATATCCGGCATTTCCCTTTAGGAAAGTTTATTCTAATAAATCCATACTTTATAATATACTCAGACCAGATATAATATAATATAATATAAAAGCTGTCTATTCAGCTGTAATATAAAAAGTCATCACCAAAATATAATATTAAAATACTGTGGCCTTAAACTATATCCCGAGGCCCTAAATTATAACTTGTTTAGCTAATCTATTAAACCCGTCCTGAATGAACACATCGTATTTTAATATTATCATTATCATACCGCATCTCTAATGTATAGCCTAAAACTTATGTAAAATATACTTAAGCAAACTAGAAATTTCCAGTATAGAAATTTTATGTTACTATAACAAAAATTATAATTATCACATATATTTCTTTGCTATGATATGATCATTACATTTATTTTAGAATTGATTTAATTTAGTTAAGTTTCACACATTAATTAAAAATTTAGGAAGAAATAACGCTTGATCTAGCACACACTAACCTTATCAAAATTAATCCCAAACAGGATGTATGATTTTTTTCTTTCCGTTTATTGTTGCTAATAATTTTAATATTCCGTTCATTTGCAGATAATATATTAGATACGACTAGTTATACAAGCTTGTTTCTCATTTTCAAGGTTTTATGCCGAAAGGTGACCTCGGCCATCTTCGTTATCTTTAATTAATTAACCCCTTACAACCTCCTGACAACCAATTTTAGTTACACAGGAAACGTTCATCTCGTAATAGAATTTCTTCAGTGTATATACAGTGTAATCTTCTCTTTTAGATATTTTTAGAAATTTATAATGTTACTAATTATCACTAAAATTCTAAACAATTGTTTATGTGTTACTTGAAAATAATGAAATCTATTCTATTATCAAATCACACGTAAACTTTCCTGTAATTTACAATTAATAATTTGGAATGATCTAATGATGATGATTCGTATCTAATGATAGGAAGTTCGTTTTACTATCGTTAGATACGAATGATATAAATTAGTAAAATTTAAAAAAAGGTAAAGGTTTTTATTCTGTAAGCTAATTCCAATTTTCTATTGTTCATAAAGAACAATTTAACTAACACTTGTATAACAATAATGTTAATATCTGCCCAACTCAACTGCAAGTTTGTATAAGTTTAGTAAAAGGTAAGGAATAATTGCTCCATTTTAAAAAATTTTGCAATTTCACATTTATAATTGGGTGGTAAATATAGCGGAAGTGAAAAGAATGCACACGTTTCTGTACACTGATTCTATTTTATATAATGCCATCGACTCGACACTTTCCCATTTTTTTAGAAATGTAAATTGTAAATGTTTTTGTGTTATTTTTACAGTTTTTATGGAAACTTAGCAAAATAAATGCTAAAATAATTTTCGTCAATCGTTCTAAAATAGTTTCTCAAATTGTGTCACTTATCAAGCAATATACCTTCATCTGTAATTTATAACTGTTATTAATTGTATATTAAGTTCTCTAATTATTAAATATTGATTAATTTATTAATATGAGAAGTAACTAGTTTCCCGGCAAACGTCGTTCTTTATTTAGAAACGTTGCGTTAGTTTCTATAACTCCTACCAGGAAACTGTCTGTAAACTTATTGTGCGACGGCGACGACCCATGAACCGGGAGGTATGGGTCAATGACGCTAAATATCACGTGCTTACTTTTTGCACACCTGTTTAATGATGGTTTTGAGAACCTCACTTCGACGTGCTGCACGTTCTTAAAATGCTGTGAAAAAGGAAATAAAGTTATAACGGATCTTTATTTTGAATGTCTGTGTTTATCTTCTTTTTATTTTTAATGCGTTTAAGTAAGATAAATAATAGAAATAAATATTAAGCGTAATATTTAGAGGTATTAGACTTAAACTAGACTAACTCATAATGCTGATCTATAATATATATCATAAGCCATCGTATGTGCGTTACATCCCTAATGGACAATTTTGCCCTTAATGGAGCAATCTGGCCATTAATTACATTTAGAGTTTAAGGGAGAAGAATCTCTTGAAGTATTCAATGGTGAGGGAGGTGGTCAAGATACTATCTACAAGAACTACGTTAGTGGTACAGAGTCACGGAAACTCTATATTCCGTAAAACGCGTTGTATCGCCCAAAAAGAAATTCACGTTACCTAATTTTTACTTCTATAACTTAATACTAAGATCAAATAAGTTATCTTTGTTCACTTGTAACACTTGATAATAGTGGAGTCCCGAAACTCGACTTAATATGGACTGGAAAGGTAACGACGAGTTTCACGACATTAGCTATAATGCTAGTCTAAATTGAGGAATTTCCATAAAGATATTACATATGCAAATTCATATACGTATTAACTATAATGACTATTTCTTAATTTTAATAGTTAAATTTTAATTTTAAAAATATTGGCTGTTCGGTAGCTACTTTCGAGTTAGTGTCATTCACGTCGTGGTGTCTTGCTGTGGCACCTTGGAAAAAGGGTTAGAGTAAATGAAGATTAAATGGTGAAAAAAGTTCTTGAAGCTGTGATTGTAAAAATAAATTTTAGACTATGTAAAAAAACTGACTAAGCCGGTGTTTTCTTATACAAAAAACTACATAATAACGAGCAAAATATTAGTGTTTTCCGAACGACAGATTAAAAAAAAAAATGAAATATAATTTTCTGCTAATTTACCATCTCACCTTTAAAGGTTTGTGTTAGTTGGTGACTTGTATATTGATAAGCATTCTATCAGAGTCTACTCTGTTATTTTTGACCGATTAGACTCATTATTCAAGCTTCTGTAGTATTGTTTACAAGAAACAAAAGCTAACCTTAAATTAACTTAAGATTTTCGAGGCCACACTAAACATAAGCGTGTTCTGCACGTCAGAAACAGAAACATTTAATTTTTTCAGTTACTTTTACAGCAATTGTGCGTAAACAGCACACATAGCAAGCACGGCTTTCAATTGCCACAATATATTAATACGAGGCACTATTTTTAACTTTATACAGTAATTACAAGCAGTGGCGTAGCGTAGTGGGGCGGCAGGGGCGTCCCGCCCCAGGCGTCACGCCCCAGGCGTCACTTTTAGGGGGCGGCAAAATTTCACAATAAATAATAATAATATCTTGTAAAAATTTGAACCATTTCATTTCATATTTTTATCGCACCTACGATTCGGACCGATTGAAATGAGCACGGAATTTTTCATTACTTATTCTGTGACGAAACTGAATTTTAGTCTTTTAAATTGAGATACCTAAATAAGAATTGATGCTATTATCGAGTGTTGCAAGTGAACAACGATAACTTATTTGATCCTAATATTAGGTTATAGAAGTAAAAATTAGATTACGTATACAGTCGACCCCCTATAACACTGTTGATTATTCCGTTTTATATGAATTCCATGTTGTACGACTCAGATTTTACAAATACGTGAGCCGTTTACAGCACGGCACACGTATTGGCAAAATCTAAGTGACTCGTATAACATGGAATTCATATAAAACGGAATAATCAACAGTGTTATAGAGGGTCGACTGTATTTCTGTTTTTGGACGTTAGGACGAGTTTTACAGAATGCCGAGTTTCCGGGATTTTACTGTATCGTCGATTCCACATGTTAACAAGTAATATGACCCTTTTTCCTTTTGCCACAACAAAATGCCGACGCGAATATCACTAACTCCAAAGTAGCTATCGAATAGCCAATATTTTTATAATTAAAATTAACTATTAAAATTAAGAAATAGTCATTATAGGTAATACGTATATGAATTTGCATATGTAATATCTTTACGGAAATTTCTCAATTTAGAATAGCATCATAGCTATGCCGTAAAACTCGTCGTTACCTTCTCAGTCCACATTAAGTCAAGTGGCGGGTTAGTTTGTTACGGCAACGCCAACAATTGGGTGATCTGCCTAGGGAGATGCCTTCTGGGAGGTCTTTTTAAGGGTAACATTAGGCATTATGGCCTCTATTTAGGCGTTAGAGATGGTGGCGGGATGGCCGAGCGGTCAATGTGGCAGCCTACCGCTCTGGGGGACCCGAGCTCGAATCCGAACGGGTCGAAAAATCCCCAGGAATTTTTCGGGGGGGTCCGTTCGGATATGTCGGACCCAGTTCCTCACCACCCGGCAGCCCCATTGTGGGCCTGGCCGAACCCATAATGGGCTTGCAAAAAGAGGCCCTCTTAGTGCCCACAGGGCGGAAAGAGAGAAAAAAAAGGCGTTAAAGATGTGGAGAAAACCCGGAAAACTTTTACGTCGATATTTTACATTATTGAAAATAGCGAAATATTTCTTTTAGAAAAAATTGCTTTTCTATGAAATTCTAAATCCAACATTCCTAGAAAGTAAAAACGAATAGAATATTTAAGCTTTTCTTGTTTATTAAAAAATTTAGAAAATGTTTTATTCTGATTTCTAAAAAATCTTTTTTTCATGTAATAATATACATTTAGCTTCAAGTAAAACAGTTGTGATGGGAAACACTCTGTTACGGTATTTGGAATTACATCTGCTTGCTTCAAAAGGAAATGAATCCACCAGTTATTGTTCATGTTATGCCTTATAGTTTTATTGTTAATATAATGTTTAAGAATAGTAAATGATAAGGAAGAGAAATAGTAAAAATATTATTGTTAAAGAAAGTAAATTTTTATATTTTGATTTTCCAAATTATAAAAAAATGAAACAAACTAAAATATAATGCGTAGGACTTTATATTAAGACAATAGACGTAATGTGCATAAATGTGTACATTGTTCGTGTATGTATATAAGTCTATCTAGTACCGATGGCGTGCCTGGTGGGGATTGGTTGGGTCAGGACACCCAAATTTTAGCGTAAAATTGTTGGATATATCTAATTTTTGTGANCACCAGTTATTGTTCATGTTATGCCTTATAGTTTTATTGTTAATATAATGTTTAAGAATAGTAAATGATAAGGAAGAGAAATAGTAAAAATATTATTGTTAAAGAAAGTAAATTTTTATATTTTGATTTTCCGAATTATAAAAAAAAAGAAAGAAACTAAATTATAATGCGTAGGACTTTATATTATGACAATAGACGTAATGTGCATAAATGTGTACATTGTTCGTGTCTATATATAGATCTATCTAGTACCGATGGCGTGCCTGGTGGGGATTGGTTGGGTCAGGACATCCAAATTTTAGCGTAAAATTGTTGGATATATCTAATTTTTGTGATGTTATTTTGAACTCAGCGCCACATGAAGTTAGAATGTTAATTAACCGATGATATTTAACAATGCAAGTGCAGATATCGAAAGTTAAGATGAAAGTCACTTCATCTTAGATACCTTTTTCACTGAATCTAAAATACACACATATTCTTTAAAATATCACAAATTTATCAATAATTAAATGTAAAGTAGAACGTTCATTTCTCTCACACTTGATTTTTGAAATATGAAGACCCTAAAAATTTTTTACCAGACACGCCAATCCTACTATCTATAGTAGGCTTTACATATTTGTAAATAGTCTAACTGTTCATGTGTTATAAATGACCTAGAGATCAAATATTTATTTATAATTTATTATTAATTTATAATTTTTCCAGTTGGTGCCGATAGCACTTCTTTGTTCTGTTTTTTCACCAAGTTTCATAATAACATGAAACTTCGTTAGAAAACTTATCGCGAGGAGTTATGAATCAAACAATTATGGATGCTAAAAATTTCTTTGTTGGTAATAAATGTAATTCCGAATTTCTCATGACCATATTGAAAATATTGCTATATTAATGTTTTTTTTTTTTTTTTTTTAACTCTTTTCGTCCTGTGGGCACCAAGAGGTCTCTTTTTAATAAGCCCATTATGGGTTTGGCCAGGCCCACAATGGGTCGGCCTAGTGAGAGATGGGACCCGACATATCCAGACGGACCATCCGGATTGATCCTGGATCCCCAGAGCTGTAGATTTCCTTGCCACCTTGACCGCTCGACCATCCGGCCGTCGCAGTTTTAATGTTGTAGTATGGGAGGAGGTATTGTCATGATGGAAAAACACTCTGTTCTGCTTACCAGGCTTTAGGACATAGTTTGATAACATAGACCTCAACAATTGATTTCATAATGCTGTCAATAAATTTGTGCATTGGACAGGGGAGAGGAATTTCTACATCCAGTGAAACCTCTGATGCTTTTTTCAAAATTTCCCTTATTCTCGACAGTCCATTCATCCAGCACATTTACTCCTAACATAACAGATTCTTCTGTCCACATTGGTATAACCCAGATAGATTCAGTCCTTATCAACTGTGACCGTATATTCGCGCTTCTACCCAGAGAGGTGGTTCTCTTAGAGCTTTCTTGAACTAGTGTTGCAGTTCTTCTTATGCTTTGTAGTCAGTTTGTGTACTTACAGATTACAACTTCATATCATCATGTACAATATTGTAGACAGAGGAAAGACTCAGGCAACACTTTCTTGATGGCCTCCTTGGTACAAACTGGATGGGGCTTCTTGATCATTGCACCCTTCTGCATTAGCCGCCACTTGTCTTGCTAGACCTACTTTGTTGGTCTAGCAAGACAAGTGGCGGCTAATGGGCTCTACAAACCATGGATTGTGAAACACATAGTTCTGGTTTTTCAATGTTTTCACTATGGCTCTGGATGAATATCCTTCTTTGGAAAAGCCGATGATCCGACCATGTATCTCTAAATTCAACGTTGTTCGTGGCATTTTCTGCTTCAGGAACTCGTGTACATCAATTCCAAAAAAACAGACAATAATCTATCATGAAAAGTTAGTTAAATGACTGCATACACATAATTACAGTTGGTGCGAATTTCAAAGACGAGTAAAATAAAGGTGAACTCCATCTATATTAGCTAAAGTTTCTGTAAAGTCTTAAGGCAGTGTTTTCAATATATTTTTAACGGTGGCACCCCAACTTGATAATTTATTTCTTGCAGCACTTCTATTTTAGCAATGTAGAGTATTGTATTTTTCATTTCTTTTAGTAAGAAGTATTATGGCGCATAATAATGTTATTTAATTATTTCATGAAATATTTTGAAATCATTGAAAAATGTAGTCAATTTAAGTGTTTTTGGGTGATAAAACTACAGTATCAAAGATTACAGTATATCATCTGCTAATTTAAGTTGATAAACTGTTGACTTAACATTTTGTATATAAAACAAGTTATATAAAATTGATATTTATAAACCTAACAAGGAAAAGTATTGGAATCGTGTCAAATATGACCCTTCGAGCTTTTGAAAATTGCCATGTTTCCAGATCTCCTGACCCAAAAAAGTAAAAATAAATAAAATAAAATAAAATAAAATTTTGTGTGCGTGTTGTCTTCTCCTTTAATATCTCAAGATATGGTAATGACTAAGAAACGAAATTTGCCACAATATTTTGTATGTAAGTGCCATTGGTGCTATTAAATTTTGGTGGTTAAAGGTCAAAGTAGGGAGATAAAGGGGACCTTGCATCATATTTCGAGAGGGGTCGGGCTTAATGTAGATTTTATTCATTACTAGCTTACCGGTCACGCATTGCTGCGATCTCAGAAGAAACGAAATTCAAGCAAACTCGTTATAAAAAAATTCAATTTATATTTTATAATTTTTATTGAAACTTATTACTATTATATTATATTATTGTTATTATTAATTTTCATCGGGAAAACATTTCAAAGTGTCGTTTCAATTCTATTTATTTATTGGAGTGCTTGTGGATACATGATATTTTTTTGTTTTTCCGTCTGGTGCGTACACGAATAAATCAGAAGGTTTTCCGACGCGTGAACAGGCCACATACAGTTGTACTGTACATGTGAGAAGCACGGATTCTCCAAATCTAGCCCACACACATGCAGCGATTGTCAGAAGTGCGATATTCCCCATTTTTATATATATTTTTTTAATCCTTTACAATTTTAATTATTTAATTGTTCCTTCCTCTCTTCCTTGGCATGTTGTGAAATTTCTGATAGTTGGATAATAAACCGTTTTATTGTAATTTGTTTTTTTAAATTATTTTGAGTTGATATTAAAATTTGGAAAAGGGGGGATCCCTAGACCGGTAAAATAGGCGAATTTTCTCCTACAACTTCGGTTGTTGTTCTGTGTACGTACAGTAAAGGTTTTAACAAACTTGAAGCGAATACATAATTAGCAAAAAAAAGTTGAAATAAAGTGATTAAACAAAAATTATTACAAATATCGTAAATAACAGTTCACAAATGCATATATAGAGATATTTTTTGAACGGGGGAAATGGTCTTCACAATTTGAAATCGATCGAACACACAGTGTAAACGCGCGCCATCTATCGTAGGATAAATGCACTATGCCAGAAACTTTTGCAGGAGTGTATTAAAAAACTTCCCAAAGTTTCATGAACGGTGTGGTAATGCATAAAGGACGAACAGACAACAGACATACATTCATTTTTATATATATAGATTAGCATTTACAATTTTTTATAAAATTCATCCGTATCTTCAAAATTAAGCTTTTTGCCATTTTGTGATGATTAATAATATAAAATACCTGTATATATAACAATATTATAATAAATATAACAAAATCTCATAACAGATGGCGCCACACCTAATTTTTAGTTATTAATAGTATAATTTAATTAATAATATAAAAGTTATTTTTTAAAATAGAATCTTAACAGCCGGGAAAGTTACTCAACTCGTTGCTGGATTACTTAATTTACGGATTATTATTTACTATATACATTATTAATTACTAATAATTTGAATTTTTACAAAACAAACAGTTATAAATTCACAGACTGATTTAAATCTTTCGGGAATCAGATCCTAATCGGACAATTAGTGTAATTACAAATAAATTTGCTTAACACTAACGCACTCTAACTTTTTAACTAAATGAGAAGTTAACATAAGCTGCTAAGTGTAAGTATTTAAAACAAGAAAAAAAAAACAATAGTTTGAATCAGCACTCATTTTCAGTCTGCTGGAAACTACGCTCAAAATTTCAAAATTCAAAACTTTTGCCAAGTTGTGAAGTGGGAAAAAAGGGAGCAAAAAGTGTTTTTTGACCACTTTTTCCCAAAGTGGGCAAAAGAAATTTTCGATAACCAAATTTAGTACCTTGGGTTAGGGCCCAGTAGGCCCATTCATAAATTTAGCATTTTTTTTTTTTTTACAAAGTACAAAAAAGTAATTAATCTAAACTTTTACTTTAGCTTCTTGGTGGAACTCTTATAGGATGTATGATGTGGGTTTTGGCTACTTCCACTGCTGTACATCGTTTTTTTAAGGGTACTTTGGTAAGTTTGCAATTTTTTCAAGTTGGTTTTATTTAATGCTTTATATAGCTATATACACATATATATATTTTTTTATTTTAAAACAGATCTTTACATATGTTGTGTTGATACTTGGATCATTTCTTTTCTTGAATGGTAAGTATCCTTATAGTTTTATGAACTGTAAACAATAGTATACAAAACACTATTTTATATTTTAAACTATTTATATTAGAATGATAAATAATACATTTTATTATGTATTATTTATCATTCTAATATAAATCACATAAAAGCATTTTATTATAAACTTTATAAACATAAAAGCATTTTATATATAAACTTTTATCACATAAAAGCATTTTATTTTTGTTAAAAATAACAAAAAGAAAATAATGAAATTATCAACATTGTAAAATATACTTAGTGTAAATAGTGATACTATTTTTTAACATTGCATAAAAATCACATTGCATGGATAAAAACAGAGAGATTTTGCTATTAAATCTTATTGAATGTTTTGATGTGAGTTACAAAGTTCTATATGTGTATGAAGTTGTAGTTCTATAAAAGGAATCACCAGATTTTTGGGAAGAAAATCTGGGACACAATGAGTTCTTTACAAAAGATACTGGAATGTTCAATTCTAGGACATGCAATATATGTGTATTTTTACTCTACCAGTTTCAGAAATACATTTAAAATGCAGAAAAAGAAAAAAACACTTTATTGTAAGAATAGTTTTTTAAAATAAAGTCATCATGATGCTAGATGGCAGTTGGAAAACATTTGAGACAATCCTAGAAAACCACGACATCTGGCAACCTTAGTTATAGGAAATGTGATGAACATATTAGATTGGATTTTATTGTTTCATTGACTTGTGCTTCTTACAATAATAAATGTATATTTCGCCAAAATTTAATAAATATTTTTCAGTTACTTTCAGTTAATTGTGGAGAAATCGGTTAATATATACTTTTTTCATTATTTTGATCTGTAAATAAATTTTCAATTTAAAATCTTGTAATGAAAGTAAATCTATATAAAAATACAGCATGTTAAAGAATGATACTTAAAAAAATAAAACTTAACAATATTTTTATGATACTTGCTAACTTTTACTTTTATATCATTGTGCCGAACTGCTTGGGCATTCTTCTCCAAGGGATGAATTCTATTTGTATCTACTTTAAATCCTAAGAACATTACATAAGTACTATCTCTAAGAGATAGTACACATTAGGTGTTTTGAAGCATGCGTTTTGGTAACGCGCATTTTAAAGAACCAAGAAGTCCGCATAGGTATAAACATGCAAATGCGCGTACAGATTTTGGTTAGAATGCACGTTGCACAGGCGTGAGCTGTGCGCTTTGAGATACAAGCGCCACCATTTTGTTGTACATTTGATCGCGCGCTTTCGGGTAGAGTGGATGCACGTTGGCCGAAATGGAGAACGATCATTTCAATACCTATCTATTTATTGATGAAATCCAAAAGAGACAGCCATTTGGGACATGGAGAGTCCTGAAGAAATTGAGTCTCTTAAAATTGTTGACTCACCAGTAATATCCACTTTTATAATATGGAGTAAGTCATCAAATGATTTTATAAACATTCTAAAATAATTAAAACACTTGGGTTCATATTGTCTTAGTTTTGGATACAACGTCACAAACATTCCATGTGTCAGTCTATCCCGTAATATTGGGTGCGCCCAAAATTCTCTTTGCCTCTGCTGTCATCTTTTATAGCGATGATAGAGGAGACATAAGCAATCACATCCACGTCCATTTCCAAACTGAGCCAGTGCGCATGCCCTACTAACGGTCGTCGATCACCGAGCTAAACACTTGTTAGCAGTGTACACACCATGTGTTTAGCTCAGCGTTCGACGACCGTTAGTACCTGATAGTTAGTACCATTGCCTGATACACTAACGATACCTGATAGGTGAGGTACTAACAGTTTTTTTTTTTCCTCTAAATTATCTTCAGAATCACAAAAAAATTCCATTATTTCCTCCCAATTTCATTTCTTTAGTACCCTATTTTTGTAATCAGGACTCTCCATGTCCCAAATGGCTGGTCTCTTTTGTATTTCATCAATAAATAGATCAGTATCGAAATGATCATTCTCCATTTCGGCCAATGTGCGTCCACCTCTACCCGAAAGCATTCGATCGAATGTACAGGTACAGTACAACAAAAATGGTGGCGCATGTATGTCAAAGCATGCAGCTGACACCTGCACAATGCGTGTTCTAACCAAAATCTATCAACGTGCGTTTGGCCAGAAGCACCATTTGTGTGTGTATACCTATGTGGAATTCTTGATTCTTTAAAACATGCGTTGCCAAAGTGTGTGCTTCAAAATGCCTAATGTGTACTATCTCTCAACATACACTCTAGTGAGGTGCTGAAGTTGCAATTCATTGCAATTTTTCATAGTTCTGCGACATAGTAGTTGATACTCTCTCCTGGTTTTTGTGATCTCTGGTTAAATTTGAATGATTCAATGATTTCATTAGAGCTATCAAGAATGTTAAGTACTTCATTGTAGTTAACTTGTGTCGTTTCTTTCGGGGCTATGAGTGTTACTACAAGTTTGTATAGAGTTTCACCGCACACCATAAGAAATAGAGCACACTTATCTTGGTCATTTTCAATCTGGTTTGCCTTCAAGCAAAAATTAAAGCAGTCCTTATAAGTTTTCCATTGGTTGTCCACCTTGAATGGTTCGAATGAACTCCACTGGTTGACGTTCCTGGGATTGTCATTTCTGACTTTTGATCTCAGATTGTAATTTCAGCTGGTAAGTCTCTATTTTAATCCTCGTTGCCAATTTTATATCAATTTTGTTTTCGTCTGTTTCACATAAAAACATATAGTTAATTAACAATTAACTTTATTCACTCTCGGATACAACTGACTGGGGTGACGACTACACAAGGACTCTCTCAGACAAACAAAAAGTATGTTGGAATTTCCACCTTTGACTTGATCAAGTTACAACAATCTCAGTAACTGTTAGGAATCCAAACATGTTTGTATGAGATTTTTTGCTTAGAATCATTTATGTTATCATCTCCATGAATATTGCAGATTCCTCCTGGATCATCCTGTTTATTTCTTTAATGTTCAAATCGGTTTGATTTTATTAATTGAAAAACTAATACTTAATCATTTTTTCATGTTAAGTTGATTAACAGTAAAAATATTTTTCTATTTAATCAATTTTTATTTATACTTTTTGTATAAATAAGTATAAAAGAAATTATATAAATAGAATTATTGAAAAAAGTGAATATGATGATTGTTATGTAATGTCTTTGTTTAACTATTTCTAAATTTCTTTCAGGAAAGATCTCATTAATATTGTTTGGTATCAATATTGAAAATTATAGTCTGATATTTTATTGGATCTATATGAAATTAAACTATTAAAAAGTTTAATAAAATAGTTGAAACTAAGTCAGATTACTTTATATTTGCCATCTTTTAATAATTTTATTATTTCAAAATAATTTATTTAAATTATATATCTTTTAAAAATTATTCATAGTTTGATTCAAAGTAAGCTGATGATTGTAAACAGCTAGTGAAAACAATAGTTCTATACACTACCTGACACTTTTAAGAGCCAGAATATGAAATACTGTATATTGATTATTTTTAATATCAACAATTTATATTCAAAATTGTTTTTATGTTGTTACATTGAATGTGTTTTCTTAATTTTGTTTGTTTATTTAATAATAATATAAAAAGTTTTTTGAAAAAAATATTTATTAGTTTGCATTTTAATATTATTACCTGATTTTTTCTTATCTATTGCATCAATATGCTCAGTTTCAGATATAGTAAAAATATTCTAAAGTGTGTTCTCATGTAACTAATGAAATACTGATTGTTTGTTTGGATGTATTTCATGTCATTACTTTATGATTTATGTCAATTCTCAAAATATACTTTGTTGATAAAGTGAACTGAATTATTGACAGTGTATTAGTTTCTTTGACTAAGATGCTAAATGATGATTTTCTCTTTTAAAGATAACAAAATTAAAAGATGGGAACCCAAAAATGCTATAACAGAAATTGTTTTGATTAAACAATAACTGATTGGTACATGAAAACATATTTATGCTGTAATAAACCTATTCTGAAAGATTTTCTTTATTTACAATAGCTTATGGCAGCATGTAGTGCCCCCTCTCAATACTAGAGGGCATACTCCCAGAAACCTACTTCTGGGAGCTATAAATTAGTGGGCCCAAGAAATGTGAATTATTCTTCTTTTGGCTCGTCCCTCATTGTTATTTACATACCGATCTCTACATTTGTACAGATCACCTATGTTACAATCTCATATTGTGTGTAAATTTTCAATGTAATAAAGAGAATATAATTGTACTTAAGTCATTCAGGTGTTCCTTGACTATACTTAACAAGCTCACCTGCAAGCTTGTTGCATTTTCAAAACACATTGACAAAGTTGGAACTGGGATAAACTTTCAAAACAATCAAGAACCTTTAAAATCCATTAATACAATTTTAAAGGTTCTTAATTGTTTGTGATTCGTTCCAGTAATTCAGTAATAAGCTAGTTTTTAACTATTCACACTTTTCCAGCAGATAATTTATTCAGCAAAAATGTTTTTGACTTATTTCATAAGTCAAAAACATTTTTTTTATTTTATTTTAAAAATCCTTTATCTTTGGGGATCCTTGGGCACTTATCTTTCATATACACTCGACCTCCTATAACACTGTTGATGATTCTTTTTTATATGAATTCCATGTTGTATGAGTCACTTAGATTTTACAATTACGTGTGCCATTCACAGCTTGGCACACATATTTGTAAAATCTAAGTGACTCGTACAACATGGAATTCATATAAAAAAGAATTATCAACAGTGTTATAGGGGGTCAACTGTACAGTAGAATCTCATTTTAACAGATTGAAGAACAATAGATTTCTTGGAATAATGGATTTTTCAACAGGTCTTGCCAAACCAATGTAATTTCACCTCTTTTTAACAGATCTGTAACTTGGAATAATTGAGGTTTTCTAGCCCCATCTACTGTAAACATGTTTTTTTTTAATGTTTAATTAATGTTTGGGTGTTTCCTGGTACTAAATTATAAAAGATCACACAGAACAAAATAAACACATGATCATTATAGTTCGCATTGCTAACATTGCAACTGTGTGTCAGCATCCTACTATAGCTCATTGATTAATGGTGGGAAACTACTTTGGCTTGAAACTTCCAGACATGTGGGTGTCTGCAGCAAAGGTTCATGGCAGCTTGGGACTATCACATCATGAAATCATACCATCATGCTTGTTTAACAGTAACATTTTGTGCTGATGATGCCACCAAAAGTAGCCCAGAAACACATGGCATAAGGTACTGTATGGTCTTGTAACATACAGTACATGTTTCTATAGAATAAAGGATAGAGATCTCAAAAGACTAAATAATTTCAAGCATAAATATCTTTTATATGCAGGTGGTTAAAAAATGGAAATTTTTTTCGAATGACTGATATTTCCCTGGGTATGTGAGAAATCCATTGTTCATGGTTTGATGGACTCTTGGAATAATGGATGATTTTTAGCATACCCAGTGATCCATTAAAACGAGATTCTAATGTATGCATTTGTAAGATGTTCTATCATAACTTGTTTAATATCAGCATGATATGTGTATAATAATAAGTTATATAACAATTATTCAATTTTTTATTATAGATTATAAGATAAAATTCTAAAGACATTTTCAATAATTATAATTACTATAGTAAAAATTATCTGTTTAATATTTATAGGTCTTCTTGGGTGGATTGGCTCCTACAGAAGAGGAAGTTGCTTGCTAAAATTGGTATGATAATTTTTTAATTTAACCAAAATTGATATATAATAAGCAATCAAATAAATAAACAATTATAGGTGTAATTTTAATTTTGCTACTGTAAATTATGAAATATGCATAGTCTACATATATTTACATATTTATTTATTTATTTATATTTTTGAAATTACAAAAGTATTTTACATTTTACAAATATATATTACATTTTGTGTTGTAATTTGGTAATTATGATAGCTCTGGCCAGAGTGCATTGGAAGTTCAAAAAGTTAATTAGCATAGTTTTAGCATTGTAGGTATATTGACACATGTGAGTAAGGTTGCTACATTTTGATTTTCCAAAGTAAGGATGATGCTAATGCATGCATAGAGGATCCAAAGCAGTAGCCCTGAATTTAATGTGCTGCAGGTGAAAAGTTTTCAAGGAATGTCTTGTGACATCTTGAAAAACTCTTTTCATAAGCTTCCATATGATATAGTTGAGAATCTTTTATATTAATTAATAAAATATAAATTTAATTATAATTATTAAATTTGTCACGAGATGGGTCATAACATCTACCTCTAGGCCAAATTACTTAACATTTAATTATTAATAGTAGCATTAATATGGTTTGATATAATCTGGCAATTGTTCTTTAATCTAATAATTGAGTTTACAGATATTTATATATGGCTGTTCAAAGATAAATAGTATAAAAGTTACCAGCAGATGATGAATTTTTTTATATATTTTTACTATTTGATTATTTACATTTAGTTAATTTAAAGAATTTGAAACTCAAGTTTTTAATTTTTTATAAATTGATTATTCAATTTTAATTTTTCCAAATTTTTGCAATGTTACTTTAAAACATTGCAAAAGTAAATATTAAAAAATTGTATAAATACTGTATGTATAAATAAGAGAACTCTAATTAAACTTAATCACTATTGAAATAATAAACCTGTCAGTAGATATATTAATTGCAGTTAATATTTTTTTAAAGATTTATTATTTAAATACTATATTTTGTGTAAATATTTTCAATTTTAGATTTCTTGCAATAAGGGATGATATTGCAAAATTTGAATTAAAAATTTAAAAAACCAAAATTAAAAATATTCTAAGACATCTAGAAACATTTTCAGTTTCTTTTATTTTTATGCAAAAATGCATTTAGACTTTATTCTGTTAACAATTCATTTACTACAGAAATTATTATTAAATATCTCATAATCATGACAAATTTGTTTTCAAATTCTGGAAGTTTAAGAATTTGTATAACTTGTATAATTTGCATAGTTGTAAAATTAAATTCAATTTTGCTTTATTTAGATTTATATTGAAACATTTTTCATTATTTTAAATTTCAGTTCTTAATATTTTCTTTGCTCACAATTTCTTGTGAGATTGGTGGTATCATTGCTCTTAATATAATGAAGATGAAAGTAAGTTGTTTGATTTAATTTAATTTAATTAGAAATTTTTCAAACAAAATTTGTTTGAATTACTGTATATAATTGAAGTAATCTGTGATAGAATATTAGTAAATTTAAGATCTGAAAGTAAGTCTAACTTAGTGTAAATGAAAATTTTATTCTAATGAGTTTCCATCATTTTCTAAAATATTTTAGATGACAGATATACTTCAAACAGCTTGGATGGAAATAAATCAAAATACAAGAAATGTGATTCAAGAACATGTAAGCTAATTAGTTTAATATAATTAAAGAAAAATTTCATTTTATAATGCTGATAATTATTTTAATCTTTTTTATTACAGTTTGTTTGTTGTGGATTTGTTGGACCTCAAGAATTTGCTGATACAAATGATCCTATAGATGACAGTTGTTATTATAAAGTATTAGAAGGACAAAATATATCTGTAGTTGGATTGCGGCAATTGAACAGAGTAAGGTTTTTTAATAATTATTAAAAATTTTCTGATTAATGTCATATATATACATAGTTTACATTTCTGAAATATTTTTATACTAGCAGACCCCGCCATGCGTTGTTGTGGCTCAAAATGTATCTATTATAAATTTATAACACTTCCCCCGTGGGGGGAAATTTTTCGAAAAATTTCTTCTTAGTGTACATTCTCTTGACGTACCCTATTAAAACGCAAACAAAAACCCGCATCTAAAATAGTATAAATAGAAGCAGAGTTCTTTAC